TCCTATATTTGAGGATCGTTTGAGACAATTTGGTTCTTGGCTTACAGTGAATGGAGAGTCCATTTATAGCAGTAAACCCTGGAAACATCAAAATGATACCATCAGTAAAAATGTTTGGTAATAAGTTTATACACATATTGTGTTTAATATTCTTATTGTCATTTGTTTGTTATAATATAATAGGTATACCCAGAAAGACAAGGCAGTGTATGCCATAGTACTGGATTGGCCACAAACCAATCAACTAACTCTGGGAGCTGTTGAACCTAAAACTGTGGACACAATCCAACTCTTGGGATCAAAAGGCAATTTAGAGTTTAAGGAGTCGAGCGGTTCCACTCTCGTTACGTTCCCTCAGCTCAACCCCGGGAGCCTTCTCTGGGCTTATGTCCTCAAAATTAATACTAAATAAATATTTTTCTTTCTATTCTTAACTATTAATATTGTATTGAAATGATTTTAATCTAAAAATATAGACTTTAATATATTAAAATGTTTTCCTTTATATAATAGATTTTATCAATTACATATATATTTCAAATGAAACAATTTGCGAAAATTAATGGATATTTATTAGGATTTTAATTAAACAACGATTGGATTGTCATAAGAAACAAAATAGTTTCAATTAATAAGTTTGTATCTATAATATAATATTTTAATAAATTAGTTATTAGGAAGTGTTAGCTAACAGTAAGTTCATGACTATAATTACATAATAGTTTTAACCAGTAATTAGATATTTACTCATTTCACTAAAACACTTTTTCACATTAATCTGCTTTTCATTAATTTAACCAAAGATTATGTCAAACTCGAAACCTTATGTCTAAATTAATAATTTTTAGTATTATCATAAAAATATACTAAGTTTTTAATGGTAAATAATAAAAAAATTATTATTCTAACTGTAAGGATTAATGAGTTAGACTGGTTTATATTCTTATATTTCAAACCTAAATAAAAAGAAAACCACATTAGATTTTTAATTAGTTTTGTCACAAAATTATATATATATATAAGCTTTGTTAATTCTATTCAAAAATATTTTTAAAAACATTTAACTTGTACCTGAAAATGATGTTTTAAAAATATAAACATGAATTCAATGGTGTTACCCTTCGAGACTCAAGGGTATGAAAAGTTATTTTAATACCTCAATTAGTCTACTTTAAGTTAACGAAGAGAAACATTTGAGTCTTTTGGGGTAACAAGGTGATTTTTGCAATAATAAAAATTATGACATGCACAATTTTTCAAAACTTCAACTTATACCCTAGATCGATTCCCCTTTGAAAAATAATTTCATGATGGTTGAACCCATAAAAATTTTGCTCGTAAATGTTTTTATAAACAATTAATATTAAGCGGGAAATGACGTTTATATTTTACAAACTATAATTCAATGGTATTACCCTGAAAAACTCAAGGGTATGAAAAGTTATTTTATTAGCTATAGTAATCTAGTTTGAATTTGTGAAGAGATACTCTTGAGTTTTTTGGGGTAACAAGGTGATTTTTGCAATAATAAAAATTATGACATGCACAATTTTTCAAAACTTGAACTTATACCCTAGATCGATTCCCCTTTGAAAAATAATTTCATGATGGTTGAACCCATAAATTACGTCATGACACAATGTCGTTATTTATGGATGGAAATAATTTTAGATTACAGTATTTTTAATGCTGATACTAAAAATCACATTTTAAAATTTTTCTGACAATAAATAACGAAGTTATGGCACGACGTAATTGATGAATTCTGAAAATTGACATTTTATTTTTCGACGGGAAATTGATTTAGTGGGTTAGTACAAAGTTGAAAAATAGCTGAAAAGTTAGTCTGCAAATATACGATAAACTGTAAGAAATTGTTGCATTTTTAAACGTAAATAACTTTTTAACTATTAAAGTTATAAAAATAATTTTTGTATATTTAAATAT